CTTGAATGTTCATATGGTGTAATGCATAACGTGTTTGAAGTGCAGCCAGCTTTATTATATTTACTTTCATGCAAATATTCTTGAGAAAGTATGAATCTACTTCTCCTGCCCTAGCTATGGGTTAATTAGTAGAACGATTATCAGTAAATAATTATCTTTAAAAGGATTCTTAGCATATAAAATTATTGTTTGGTATGAAATAAACTTCCAAAGTTGGATAAACCGTAAAAAAGATATCAATCAATACTGAAACTGGTATTTAATTCCATAGATAAGAGATCCCTGTCTACCCTAATTTTAACCCACAGAGGTTGAAATATTGACTAATATCGCTTTCAAGGACATTTGAAGTAAACAAAACTGACTTGGTCAGAATTTGATCTCGGTATGCGGATTTCAAAGCTTTGGGATAATCATAGACTAGGCATGGCTATATTTAACAGCCCCCACGAGGGTTATATGTGACACAAGCCCGAGTTTAACGTGGGTCATCTGAGCCCGTAGGCTCGGCCCCAAAATCCCCGTAGAACCTGCATAAACGGGTTCAGGTCTGTCTAACTCCCCGGACGAAACTTCCCTTCGGCACAGCCTCGTCCAGGTTCCTCTCTGCCCAAGGCAGATAGTTTGATAGGAGCTGCGATCAGTCAGAGCCTCGGCAGAACAGACTACATCACCGTTCCCACAGGGGTAGGCACAGCTCACTAGCAGTTGTTGGGAAACAGTCTAGGAGAAAGACAATACTCTCATCAAAGCCGGTTGGTTTTGGACCAAGTTAATTATTTTTGTGGGACATGTTCCTTCAGAACGTCGACGAACATGGCTCTCCCGACTTCCTATCCTTTGTTTCTCTTCGTAAGGATTGTCTTTTCACCATCCTTCACACACCCTATTCTGCCATCCATATATACAAGCGCGCTAGGTAGGTTATTCGCTTCTTTCCCTTGTCTCTCTTGACTTCAATATGTACTGTCAGTGTTAAATTATCAAATGATTATTCCCCTTTTATAAGCCCTACAAAATTCAACTCACTCTTTCTGAATTTAAGAATCCTTTTCATTGCCATATTTTTTAATACTTCATCGTTACTCACAGATTCAGTTCCTGTTATTCTCAGTATCCTTCTGTAGAAAATATTTGACTTAAGTCTCTTCTTTATCTCTGAGGAAAATTGTCCATATTAATTGCCATATAGGGTGACCGATATGATAATCTGTAAATTCCTTGCTTCAGAAACCACAGTAATGCCTAACATGGTGAGATTACGGCACTTTATCCACAGGGACTGTTCGAGTTTCATATAAAGTTGTGCTTAGAGCTGCTGTGTTCTATAAGAAATCATTTTATTAAGCATTATAAATAAACTGCGCAGAAAATAAAATGTTGGGTTCAGACTGACACGAAATTTGACAATCGAATTCTCTATTTTGTTTGCAAACCTAATGTGGAAAACGAAGAACTGTGAAAGTCATCATTAAATGATGAATATTAATTCCAATGTAAATCATTGACAAAAAAGATAACTGGTATATTTTTTTGTTTTCGCAAAAAATTCTAAAATCAATATCTTCTGGCCACATCATTTTTATTGCTATTTTTGTATGAATAAAACTATGTTTTTCCTTTTATGATTAATCTCTGTCTTGGAAATTTAGAGACAATGGAAAAAAAGTTGCACGAATTCAAAATAGCCAAGAGTAAAAATAAAATAATGACATAGTTTATCATTTTTATATCTGCACATACATACATACCAAAACACAAACACACACACACACACACATATATATATATATATATATTCACACACACACACACACACACATATATATATATATATATATATATATATATATATATATATATATATATAGTCATGTTGATTTTCACTGAGACTTATCGATTAATGTGTCCAAAGCTACCTTTATAGATTCGCATATTAGCGTAAATATGCTTTTAGTACATGTGCACATACATACATAATTATAAATGTGTATACATATATACGTAACTATGTGTTATATAGATATTCAGTACACACACAGACATAAATACATACATATATATATATATATATATATATATATGTATCTATATATAGACAGAGAGAAAGAGAAATATTACATCATATATATGTGCTTGTGTTATATAGATATATGAAATATTATCTCTCTCTCAGTCTCTCTCTCTCTCTCTCTCAGTCTCTCTCTCTCTCTCTCTCTCTCTATCTATATATATATATATATATATATATATATATATATATATATATATATTAAAACTTGCTTAAGAAACCTGGATAACAATTTCGCTATAGTTGTTTTATAAAGAAAGTGACTACGATTCGAGATGTAATCGGTCTGAATAGGAGATTTAAACTTTGGAAAATACCTGAAAACCATGTCATAATCGGAACTGCTTGGAATCCGTCGATGGTTGTGCTAGCACGAAGTCACACGTCATCGTGGCCGAGGGTTTCAGCCTAATGGAGATATTCAAACATGTGATTATGAAAGAAACTTTAACCAAAGTTTTAGATTATAAACAACATTTAACAAACAGAGCAGATGTTGCGACATGGCATTTGTCCAGCCGCCCTAGTAGACGAGCGATATATATTTATCACTTTAAATGGTATTTTTAGCGAGGGAATGTAATGCATATTTAATTAATCCGACAGATTTCTATCACCGATAATGACAATTAAATTGATAAAATAAAAAATCCATTACCCTATCTAATGTATACAATTATAAAAATAAAAATACATTAAATACACACACACCCACACCCACACACACACACATATATATATATATATATATATATATATATATATATATATATATATATATATAGTGTGTGTGTGTGTGTGTGTGTGTGTGTGTGTGTATAAATTGGTGTTATATATATATATATATATATGTATGTATATTATCTCTATCTATAAAAGACAGGGTGTGTGTGTCTGTGTATAACGAATGCAATTTTCGACGGATTTGCAACAAAATTTACATGCACATGCTCCAAGTTAGCGGGAAGACCAAGACCGACTTTGCATTTCCCAACTCCCATCGATAGTGGAAAAAATCGATTTTTTCATGCTTCTACGGCAGTTTTCATTTAGTTTGCGGCCATTTTCTACTGGCCAGAGTGAGAGCCAATAGCTAGCTGCCACGAATAGGCAGAAAGATTCTATTGGCCAGCGTGAGATCCAACAGCTGACTGACATGAATGTTAACTAGCATGCAAAAAAAATCGATAGCTGCATTCGTCACAAGTGGGAAAAATTTAAATCTGCATGACAGTTTAGTCTGCATGGCACTTTACTCCAATTGGCTCATTCGCTTTCTTAAACTCAACGTTGATTCTGATTCCGCAGAACTGGGTTGGGTGTGAAAAGTATTTGTCGTTAACATTCTTTTTTCATTCTATTTTTCCAGTTACGAGTCCTTTTTTAAAGCTGATCGTTTTGTGTTCATTTTGTTTAGTTCTTTTTTCGTAAAAGATATAATGTTTATATACTAAACAATAAAGAGCTTAGAAAAAAATTCGCAGTGTGAGATAGGCAAGAAGTAAGGCATGTAGCAACATCAGCACGGCAAAAAGCACTCCTTTAAAGGCAAGGAAGTGCAAAAATATTTTAAGTCAAATTATAGTGATTGCTGTATGAGCCGTACGATTTTTGAATCAAGCACGGGCAACGCCGGGCCATGCTGCTAGTATTTTATATGCGCTGTATTTAGTGGAAAGCGCTCAATGTCAGTGATAGCGCTAACATAATACGTTGTATGGATATTGAACTTCTGACTCTGGTTTTCGCACTTTTGCGATCAGCTGACATATTCTGAGTATGTTTGCTGATCTCAAAAGCGTGAAACCCAGTGTCACAAGCTCATATCCATACAAATTTATATATATATATATATATATATATATATATATATATATATGTATTTCAAAAAAATCTACTCAAATTCTGAGATATTATAACTTCTTGAGTTTTATCTTTTTTCAGATACATGCATTTAGTTTCCTTAAATATTTAATTTAAACCGTTAATCTTCTTTGTAAATCAATAAACATTAATATGTTTTAATTCTTACCATTAATCATGTTTGCAAGTCCATAAATACTGAATGTAATATCCTTTAAAGTGTGAGTTCATTTTTAAGGTACACCCTGTATATATATATAAGACAAATAGTAGAGAACATATTTCATGACGTGTTTCGTTCCGATCTTCTTCCGACTAATAACATATATAGAAGAGAAAGCGAGTGGCAGTTTCTCTCAAAGCGAAACGTTCCGCTTTAAATATTGATTTTGACGTTCGGTGTATCTAAATGTTTAACTTAGCCGTTATTATTATATATCGCTTTTATATCAATTTTATATCGCTTTTGTTTTATTTATTTTTTTTATCGGAATTGTTTATTTAACATTTGGCATTTTATCAGCATTTGTTGTCGAGGAAACGATAAATGTACGATCCTTGACTTAAATTTACCGTCAAAGATTCCGGAATCAGTTCACATTTAATCGTTTTTCGTTTTGATAAATTACTTTCTCTTTTAATTAAAACTGCATTCGAAAATATGGCCAGACCTGTAATGATCAATGACTAATTCACTGACTGTAATATTTTGGTAAAGACCAGTTCTTTGCTCATATAATCTTTTATTTAATTTTCTAAATGTTTTGGAAACTTTTTCATTTATTTTTTGCGCAGTAAGGTTTGTCATATTCAAGGCCCGGGGCCACTCGAGGTAGACGGTTACAGTAAGAGGCAGTTTATCCGGATTGGAGGTGAAGAGAACGGTTATCTCAAGATTGAACAGGTTAAGATTGTAGCGATCGTGAAAATATCCTCTGTGGAGTCCGTTACACAGAACAGTTGTTCACAGGAAGAAGCTTTTTAAGTGGAACTTACTATTAACCAATGGTTTGCCACAATGCAGCTAATAGAACAGGCCCTGGACGTATACATTACAAATGCAGAA